TATATTAGTCCAGTGACACCTCCCTTTTTCCCGGAGACTCCGCCTCCTGGCTCCTCCTTCGAAGTCCGCCTCGCAGCGGAAAACGGCGCTACCCGATGAGTTGTATGAAATGGAAGGTTCAGTGTCTCTTTGTGGTCATGGGGCTCATTACAAGGATTCACAAGATGAATGTGTTCGTCCTAACACAAGCTGTTTTTCGCCCGTACTTACTCAGTTGCTAGAGACTGGAACGGTCCTATTAGAAGCATTTTCGAAGCTTCCCGAAGCTCATTTTCTCTTTGAAGACAAGGCCCTTGACAACATCTCTTCCATAATTCAACCACTAGCGCTCCCTATCGGGGACCACCTCAGCCTTTAATTAGTTTTCAACGCAACTTGCCGAGCTTTGAACCAACTCTGGAAGGTCCGATGTTAGAACTGCTCTAAACTCACCCACGGTGACCCAGTTCAATCTTAACTTCGTGAAGATGGATCAGTGTCAGATCTCAGCCGTTATCCACTTACGTTGTAGTGCGATTAGGAGTGTCACTGCAAAGTGATCGATCGACTGCAATTAGGTGTAGATAAAAGTGATTCATCAACTGCTACAGTGTAACTCTTTTGTGTAGTAAAGAATGGCACTACCAGAAAGAACAGAGGCAAGAAAGATGGAAAGTGGGATAACTCTTCAGGATAACAAAGCAGGATTGAAATGATTAAGAAGGAACGGTACAATAAAGTGTACATATCCTGTCGCGGGGGGGGGGGGACTATTGCAAATGCGACCCAAAAGTTGGAAGTTGATCCTCCGACTCCTCCCGTTTCTCATCCTATCTGCCACCATACCAACTTTCCCATCTTCCCACCCTTTTTTCCAAAGCTTTCCAAAAGTTTTCCAGTTTCTTTCCTATAAATTTCCGCCGAACGGGTGGGGAAGGGGACTAGTAAGGAGCACATGTGAAACGGGAAGTGAAGAACAGTAAATATTTTCTGAAGGCCACGTACCACCCCCTCCCTCCAGCATGAATTTGGCCCTCCCAGCTTGGGATTCCCCAGCCAACTACAAGCCCTGAGTGTACATCAACGTTGAGAGAATCCTATTGCGGGGTCGTATACGGTCCCGCGGAGAGGGATCGCATTTGTCATTCCGGGCCCTGATCGAAATAATTCCGGTTGTTGACTTTTCCGCTTTCATGTGCGCTATATACAGTCATGATCCCTGCAAACGATAGGGCGTGTAACGGGGCGCGGCTTTGAACGCGGCCAGGAGTTTTTCACCAATTGCCGTGGGCCCGGGATGACATCACTACTGGGACAAGGCCGCTCCGGCTGCGCCTCAAATCGCGCCGCGTCACACGTCATGTCGTCTGCAGGATCACCCTTCGATTTTCCCACTTTCTTGTGGGAAAAACTGAAACTTTTTGAGAGTGGTAGAGAGTAGGATGACCTTGGTTGGGTGGTAGGTAGGCCTAGAGAGTAAACCGAGGGTGCTCTAGCACATTGTTGAAAGTGTCTTTCAAATTCTGAAATGCCAAGTTCAGGACAACGAATGTTCGTGCACACCCGGCTATACTGGAGAGCGATGTGAACGTTGTGCGCTTGGGCATATACAGGAAGGAGAGCGTTGTATCCCAGAGGTGAAGTCCCATAGCCAAATTCTGCCCAGTTCATGTTTTCTATCGTCTTTTTCAGGTATCCGAGTCGTCGCTGGCTTCACAGACGGGTTCGCTATCGTCAAGAGCCTTCGCTTGGCCTTTCCTTCTAATGGGATCTGTTGCCGCCTTGGCTGTCGTCCTACTTGTCACCATCGCTACGGCAGCAATACGCCGATGGAACACGAAAACGTCCAGAGAAAGCAGCGTTCGGGGACAACCTGACGCAACGGACGTCTAATTCAGTCGATAAGGATGGAAATATTAGAAATTGGATATTTTCGCGTATTTGAGAACTATAATGTAGTGATTGCATTGCTTTCCCTAATCTACAGACTGCTCGAACTCGACCCCCTGAGCGCATCAATTTTCTGCCCTAGTCTGTGCTCTCCTCCCTGGATAGCGTTCTATGACCACATTCCAACTTTTCACACATGATAAGTAGCTCGCTAGTATTGAAGCCACTTCCCTTGCCACTCCATGGTTCACAACATATCCTCTTGCATAACGCGATGCTCCAGAAGCCCCTTTCTTCAGCTGGGTTCATACTTTACGTCATTGTTTTCAGCCACTAGAAAAGTATAGATATCGATCTAGCGTTTTGAGCGTACGCCCGCGTTTTCAGCGACTGCTCGCCAAAGGTTCAAGACTACCCGAAAAATGCTCAAAGCGCAGGCGTGCGCTCGAGACGCTAGGTCGTTATCTATACTTTCCTACTCGCTCAAAACGCTGAGCCAAAGTATGAACGCAGCCCTCTATATGTACGCGCTTTCCCTTTCCGCGGCAGGACCATGGCGATGACTTGATCTTCTCTATATCTGTAGATCCTACCTGGGAAGCGAGGTAACGTAAATAGATGAAGGTGAGAGAAATTTGGCGCAAACGTGGTTGAGGGGAGACTGCTCGCCATCTCTCCGGAGGTCATGTCATTGCCCTCCCCAACGACGATAGCGCCAGAAATCTTGGGCACATTTGAGCAGAAAATCAAAATGTTCTTGGGGAGTCGGGAGCTAACTTCCATAACGTGATTCGTATTGATCGTTCGGTAGCCTTGGCCGCTCCGCAACTGCCCGCCTCCCAGCACCTCATTCCCTGATTCCATACCTAGACGAATCTTCCTGCAGAATCGCTCTTGATCTGAACTCTGTTTATTTGTAGTAAGCGGATATGTTCGTTAGCGCGAAAAAGTAAACCTATCGCCCGTACCATATCCATGAAATATCACCACTTCTCGATATCCATCAATTTTCGATGTTTTACAATCGTAACCCTTCGTGATCAACCCATCCTGTCAAACCTAATTGTACATTTGCACGTTTGTGATCTATTCAGGTGTTATTCCATCACCGCCCTTTTGTTCTTCTCAGGAACCTCCATTTATTGATTGTACAGGTACACTCGCGTATTCTAAACAAATCTTTCTATTATGTAAACAATGTCATCGACTATGTGTATCGTATTTTTTCCCGTCGGTGAGAATGAAGCATAAAATGATTGCCTGAGTTCGCAGGTTACAAACTGAACGGTAGTTAATCCAAGAAAGCGCCGTGCACTTTAGTTCCATTCGATTTCGATGTTCAGTGGAAATTCGACGGCCAATGAGTTGCATGGGCCAGCTGTTGTACGAGGCAATGTTTTATGTTACAAGAGTCTGGAATGAATCCAAGAGCCTTCAAAAAGATCATGTGTTATAAGATAATCGTATCTGCCGCGCTGGTGGGCGTGGCGATCTCCGACGGCGCGAGTTGCCGTGCCTGTCCGTCTGAACTGGAATATTGAGAACGGGAAAATTTCATATTGCCCGTCAAGGAGGCATGTCTGCTTGACCTCATGTGAGTTTCGCTTCTTCAATCGACGATCTGATGCACATCGAGAATTTGCACGATACGCCGCGAGCGCGACAACGACGACTACTATAGTCTTATCCGTCTCCCGGTGAGAAAAGCGTTGTGAGCATGGGTAAGGTCCTGTTTAGGGGTTCATTTCCGAAAAATTGATGTAGTGCATGTATCACCAAACCGTTTTCCTCGACCTGCTCAACCGTTTGGAAGAAGATAGCCATCTGCATTTTTCATATTCTGCAACAGGGACGGTCAACGTGGCTCGGGGGAGGAGGCACGCGGCAACGTCAGCTCTGCGAGGCTATACCATAGGGATCTGGTCATCTACGCTCTAAAGTAAGGCTTCGTTCATACTTTGCGTGAGCGCACTCCAATGTTTTTAGGGTTTCTAGCGTACGCCAGCGTTAGCTACCAGGAAGGTGTGGATCGATCTAGCGTGTGGAGCGTGCGCCGCAGGGCACATCATTGGTTGGGGATTTTAGTCGAGTCTGTACGACCCCCCCCCCTTTTTTTGGGGTTGGTACGACCCCCTCCGGCCCTCTGTTCCTCCTCATCGAATCGAGCCGTCGAGCGGGAGGGGGAGGGGGGAAGTAGCACATTGAACTGCAGCATATTATAGCGTAGCACAATAGTAGCACATTGAATAGCGAGTAGCACATTGGGCATATAGTACGCATGAAACAGGAAAATCACCAAAAGTCAACCACCACTCCTACAACGCCAAAACGTAAATACGACCCCCCCCTCCCAACAATGACCAAGTACGACCCCCCCCCTTTACAACGTCCGTGAAGCGAGAAAAATCAACTATCAAAATAAATTTTTCCCAGCCCAAATACGACCCCCCTCTCCTGGCGGCCAAATACGACCCCCCTATTGGGGATTCCCCAACAACGATGTGCCCTGGTGCGCCGGCGTGTTGGGCGTTACCGCGGGTACTTTTAAGCTTGAGCAAAAGTGCCCGCGAAAAGGCTCAGAATGCTAGATCGATACCGGTATTTTGGGTGCTAACGTATTTGGGGGGATGACACGGCGCGCGGCGAGCGATTGCAAGGAAACCGCTCAAGATTCAATTTCTGCGATTTGATAGTGAGATATCGGAGTAGATTTCTCTTTGGATTCTGCGGACCATCCAATTTAATTAATAGTGTCACTTTTACGCAAACGAATGGGTTCACCTAGGCCGGAATTCATTCCCTTGTAGTTTAGGCAAGAATCTTCCAGCCTACTATTGTTTCTTCGCACTTTTCAGCATTAACTGTTTTACCTTTTGAATATAGCACCTTAGGGCGGTGTTATATTCATGTCCTAAACATGAAATTACCTCTATTTTGCCGAGTAGGGAGCAGAAGAGCAGGATGAGTCATCGCTCGCCGCGCGCCGCGTGGTCCCCCCAAATACGTTAGCACCGCCAATTTTCCCAAAACGACAGCGACCTGCACCCATCAATATCTACACCTGTCTTTTCGCTCAGAAGCTGATTCTCACGAAACGTTGATTCACTTGAGTCTTAAAGTACAAACTTAGCGCCAGGTCGCATTCACACATTGTTCCCACTGGAGAATCGATCTTGAAGTATCGCCGTGAGGGAGACGGGCAAGAGAATCGAGGATTGTCGCTGTTCGTTGCGCGCGGCAATATATGCGACTTTCCCTTGGAAGGCACAAGTTCGCGAACCGTCAATATTGCGGCGAAAACGGAACACAAATAGCCGCACAAAAAGAGCTAAAGTATCTGCGATTAGCGGCAGAAAGCACATGAAAAGCAAGTCCGAAATGTTATAGAGAAAGATAACACAGTGGCTACTAGCTAGTAGCTAGCAGCCGGTGAGGGTCGGCATGGGCCTAAGGGGTGTCCATGGGCCTAATTAGTCAGCTTCTAGCGGAGCTCTTGCCGTTTTTCACATTTTGAAAGTAGCGCAGCCTCAAAAATCGCCTTCCGGATCGTCCGACACATTTGAGAGGTCATAGCCTTATTTTATCGCGGAATGTGCCTTTAATTCGCTCGGCCAACCCTTTTGACTGGAGTATCGGATTTTCACGTAGACAAGGGCATGTTGGACTCTTATGCCTATTGGCCATACGTTGTCTATCCTCAACCGATCAATCGACCACCCAAAATCGCCGTCATTAGGCATTGTTCACAGTCGCCAGGCCCTGACGAAACGGCGTTGGGAGAAAAGCAATAAATAGTCATCGATCGGAGAATCGCCCAACCGTCCAACCGCCCAACCGCCGCGGTTGGGCGGTTGGGCGAAAAGCAGTAGATGTGTATCGATTTCGCTGGCGAAAAACGCCACCGCGATGGAGCTAGCGTTTTGTCGAAGGCGAAAAACGTCGCGGTTTGGCGAAACGCCCGTCGATACGTACCAAAACCTTTTCGCCAACCGGCAGCGCTCTTCGCAAACCGACCAGTCGATGATATGTATCGAACTCGAAAGCTTTTCTGTCGTCTTTTTTTTCGCGCCGAACCGCCGCCTTTCAGAGAAGGAAACGCTGGACGCCGCAGAATTGAACAATGCCTTAGGCCGCGCGTTAATAGCTTAGTGACCATTGAAGAATATGCAGAAAATGAAGAAATTGCGGAATCTGTAGAAATGACGAAAAGCATTACATACGTATCGATTCAAAGGACTGCAGAAATGCCGAAAGTGCAGGAGTGCGGAATCTGCAGAAATGGCGAAAAGCATTACATACGTATCGATTTGAAGGAATGCAGAAATGCCGAAAGTGCAGAAGTGCGGAAAATCCTGCCAGGAAATGGCGAACAGCCAAGGGCCGCGTTCATACACAGCGCCTCCGCGGCATTTTACTCGTGGCTCGTGCTCGTGGATTTCAGAATCTCCGATACGTATACTTTTGCTTTACTTCTAAAATTCCGCGCGGATTTCCAAAATCGAATAACGTTTACTTTGCTTTGGGCGCAGTTTGTCGACGGGGGGGGGCATTCGGCTTTTCATAGATGTGCCGACCATCTAGGTAGCCTTTTCTCGAGTTGACACGTTTTAGGATGGTGGCTAGACGATCTTACTCCAGCTTCACAGGCGTTCACAAGTTTTACCATGGTGAGATTCGTAAACCGGAACTAGGGAAGCAATGTTAGTACAAAATGCCCCCGTCGCTAAACAGCGCCCTTTGCTTGCTCTAAAAATTCCGCGGAGGCCACGGATGCCGCGGAGGCGCTGTCTATGACACGCGGCCAATAATACGTATCGATTTTCCGCAATTCGGCATTTCTGCATTTCTTCAGATTCCGCATTTCTGCATTTCTTCAAATCGATACGTATCTATTGCTTTTCGTCATTTCTGCAGATTCCGCACTTTCCGCACTTCTGCAGTTTCCGCATTTCTTCACGGTCGCAAGCTATGAACGCGGCCTAGCAGGCGCGACGTCGCACCCAAGTCCACTGACACGGCGAATTACGATTCTCTTGCCACATACCCTCCCATGCTGCCTTAATTCTCATCACATAGCCCCTCATCATACTTCACCTTTTTTAGACTTATATGCCGAAGATCTTCGCCTCCGGTTCGTTCTCGCATTAACTATATCGGTTTTAGCTCAAGCATGGACCTGGAGCCACCCGCGACCGGTATGTGGTTCAGTGGAATTTATTGATCGGAGCTTTCCCTAGAACGAATTTATGACTATTACTGTGAAATAGGCGAGAATTTTCTTTCGGTCAGTGAAAGACTGGAAATGAAATAATCTCTGCTTGATGTGAAGATTTGCGGGTTGGGAAAATGCGTTTTTTTGTGGCTTTTTTTGGCAAACTCAATAAGTTTAGTACTCAGATTATCTGTTCCGATTTCTCAAGTATAGCGTCTTGTTTGCTGCGAAAGCTTAGAGCGATGTGGCGCGACGCCAACCTATTCTCTTCCAGTTGTGGAAGCTGGCAGGCGACCACAATGGGTTGAGAAGAGGCTGGCGCCGCGCAATATCCAGCCTAAGTGCCCCAGCGTTCACAGCGAACAAGCTGGTTTGTTCCTACTAATATCCTGTTTTCTTAAGCATGGGTTGGCAGAATAGTTATCAGGAATATAATCCTATTCATACAGTTTAAATTAATACACTCAAAAAAACAAAACTGAATGCACCGAGTGCTACGAGGAACAACCTCCTAATCACCAGTTCAGTTTTTGCAAGGAAGAGCTGTGTAGGAGATCCGCGTTTCAGCGTTTTCGTAAGAGGTGTCAAATTCCACCATGTGCGCGCATCCGCAACAAGAACTAATTGGTTTGACGTCCGACATCCTAAGAATGCCGAGAAAACCGTAGCAAAATCGGGTGCGTTGGCGCAAACCATGAATCTTTTGACACCCCTTGCAAAAGGCTCTCAGTATTCTTGAAATTAATAAGCAGCCGAATTATTTTGAAGTAACTTGTTTTACAGATGAAGAATGGGCCCGATATTTTGGCGAAATTCGTACAGTGCCTACTCGAACTTCTCAGAATCGTACCAGACAGATTGCTGACATTGTTGATGACGTAGCCGCAGGGAGAACCTCTTGTAAAAAGGTAATTGTGGTTAGTCAAGTTTCCGGCTTTATAATTGGTCCGGTGTTAAATATCCTCAGAACTCAGGCTATTCGATGAATTCATTTAACATATTCTATCAGGACACTAGCAGCCAAAACGCTGATTTCTGCCCTCACTTATGGGAACCACCGCGAATTCCCAGTTAGTTTGCCAGTTATTTTTTTCGTCAGTTTTTTTCCAAATCATTTTACCTGGAACTTGTACTCATATTGCCTGCCAGCTATGCTCATACATTCAAAGAACAACGTCCTATCTGTGCAATTTGCCCGTTAGGGATAGATTTGCTTTGTAAGGAATGTGGAGTGGAACTCCATAAAGTACCTCATTCTGGTTCTCATAGGTTGAAGTCAACTGATGGACGTTGCAGATATGCACAATGCTTTCCTGCATAGTCCTAGGTACTTTGCCGACTGATCGTGATAATTGGCCGATTTGAGAGATTGCACAAGGAGGAAAGTGAAAGTATCGTTACCATTGGGAAATATCATTTACTGGGCTTCTGCCACCGGATCTCCTCCCTCAGCAATCTGCCAGAGCATTTTCCTCACGCATCTTCTATAAGGAAGAGAGAAGGAAGGAAAATAAGGTAGGAGGAAGAGGAAAGGGAGTAGTAGGGAGGATTAGCGGTTGACAGATGTCCTGACGGGGGGATGATGTAGGCGAAGTGGCGCATCGGCCGTCTTGGCGTTTCTAGGGATTGCGCGTCAAAGAAGTGGATGGATGGTGGATCGATTGGCGCGCTCGCCGGCAACTGGTGAGGTTCGGCGATTCGGCGCCGGTCGCCTGCGAGTTGGGAGATTCGGCGAATCACCGCTGATCGGTCGCAAAGTATGAAAGAGGCCTTAGTCTCATTCTCTTTGCGGATACCCATCAGTAAAATATATTGAGTTGTTTCGGTGTCACCTTCTTCCTTTCGTGTCTCTGATCGCCATATTTCAGAAGTTTCGAGTATTGCCCAGCATATAATGACGAAATTCTGTGCCAAACTAGATACCATGAGTGCTGAGGAGCGAGGTGTGTTTGTCTTCAATTATTTGGATATAACAATAAAGTTGAATTCTTTTCTTTGCAGAAAAGCTAGAGAGACCGCTTCTCGAAAGTTTGTCTCGCCAACCTAAACTTCCCAATCCGCCACAACATCGCGGCGAAAGCACAGACGAGGTACTTTAAACACTTCATCCAACATAGTTCCATAGTTGATCAGATGTGTCTGCCGCTTCCCCCCCCCTTCGGTGCTGAATCTTGAGGAAAGTTCGAAGATGGTAGTTACTGAATGTTGAGGAAAGTTTGAAAAATGGTAGTTAGAATGGGAAAGGGCCGTCCAGACGAGCACGCTTTGAAAGGTCGTGATTTCGCAAAAAAAACCCACCATGTGATAGTATACACTGTGCATGGTAGGAAATCAGTGGATGGAATAATATCTATTTCTCTATTGTAACTTCTTTTTATAGGATCATCAGCACATCAGAAATAAGAGAAGAGGTGGTGAGTTTTCATTGGATCATGTTATTCTCATCAAAATCTGTACTGCTGCAGGAAGAAGAAAATTACCGAAATCAGTGAATTGTCAACTTTCAAAAGAACCAACCTATGCAAATCGGCGCCTACAACAGCTATCGTCTGTATTGTCAACACCTTTACAAACTGACACCAGTTGTGTTTCGGCTGCTCAGGTACGTTAACAGCGTCACGATTACCTGGGA